CTTCCTCCTCTCTCTGCTTCTTCCATGTCTGACTTTGGCTTCTTGATTTATCACATGAACAGCCAGTGTGATAACAACCATAAACTGTAGCCCTATTGTTCCTGCTAAAACCCCAGACTTAGGTTAGTCTAACTATATTTTCCTTCTTTGGAATCTATAGAATGGCCATAAAGTCTAGAAATGGAAAATATTAATTAATCATGAATTGTAATGCATATTAATAAGCCACCTTTATGTAATTACCAGTCTCATTGCCCACTATGAGCTGAGCTATGGAGTTCTTGGGGGTGGAGGGGACTCTCCCAGCCACAAGGTTCAATGTCATACTATAAATCCTTGGCCTCCAGACTTACTTGTCCATTAGTGCTACTTCTTAACTCTTCTTTTCCCTGATTCTCTCATTCTGCACTTCCTTCAAAACTCTGAGCATACTTCCATCTCATAACTCTTAGCCTATGACCATATCTTTTCTTTCCCAAAGAAAATGAAGTCACTAGACAGGAACTTCCTTTTCTTCCTTCCATGAAACCTACAAATATCCCATGGCTATGTCCAGCTGTCTTCCCTCTGTCTTCTCAGACCAGTTCTTCTAGCGTTGCTCTGGATCCTATCCCTGCCTGCCTCCCCAAGGATTTTTCTCTATCATTTATCTCTTCTCTTCCCTGGATCTTTAACCTCTTTGTTTTTATTGGATCCTTCCTCTCAGCATAGAAACATCCTCAAGCCATTGTCATCTCAAACTCCTCCCTGCACGTGTGCCTCTGCAGTGACTGTCCTCGCTCTCTCCGCCCCTTTTCCACCTCCTGTACTGCCCATTCCTTCCTGATCCACCCTCATGATGTGCCCATCAGTGTATCATAATATCAGTCTCTCCAACATCATCAATAACCTACTTTTATTGCCAAATCCAAAGAACAACTTTTAATCCTTATTTTATTTTGGTCTCTGTCATGGGTTGAATTTTTGGGTTCAAAATTTAGATGTTGAAGTCCTAATCCTTTGTACCTCAGTATATGACCTTATTTGGAAATAGTGTCTTTGCAGACATAATTAGTTGAGAACTGGTCATACTAGAATGGAGCAGGCCATAATCCAATATGACTGATGTCCTAATAAAAAAGGGAAATTTGGAGACATACACACAGAAAGAATGCCATATGAAGATTAGAGTTATGTTACTACGAGGAGCTACCAGAAACCAGGAAAGAGGGCTAACACAGAGCCCTCCCCAGTGCCTTTAGAGGGATCATGGCCCTGCCAACATCTTGATTTCAGATTTCTAACCTCCAGAACTATAAGACGATAAACTTCCCTTGTTTAAAACACCCAGTTCATGGTACATTGTTACTGCAGCCCTAACAAACTAATACAGTCTGTTGGGAGCATTTAGCAAGGTTGATAATTGAAACACTTTCTTACTCCTTTGGGCCTGTATCACGTCCATTTCTGAGGGTTCCCCATTTCTCTAACAGTTCTTCTCCATCTTTTTCTGTAGCTTGTCTTAAATGTTGATGTTCCTCAGACTTCTGGCCTTTTCACTTCACATAATCTCCTGAGTGGTCTTACCCACTTCTGTGGCTTGAGTTACTATTGATGCAGTGTTGTGCTAGGAAATGTTTAACAACTGGCTCTCCGGGGGGAAGGAAACTGCTGTAAACTCTTTTTTTTTTTTTTAATTTCTGTATTATAAATAGACCCACCATGGCTAATCACAAACTGTCAACTGTTTAACAATTGATTCTCAAACTTAACAATTGGCTGTCACAAGCAGGTACAGCCAGTATAAGCTGGCTCCAGCACACCTTGGCTTTTGTGTCAGACATAAGCAACTTATTTTCACACATAAGGTAGTATAAAAATATCTGGAGACTTTTCTTTCTTCTTTCTTTCCTTTAACAAACTGCTCCAGAAATGGAATATCTGCAGCTGTGTTTATTTGTCCTTTCGTTATTTCTTTGTCACTGTGGCAGTGGTAGATTTTTTTCCCTTTCTTTTTCCTTTATATGATGGAAATATCTTTGATCAGCTTTGTTTTTGTGATATGTTTTGGAGGTGTTTCAGTCTGGTTTTTGTCACAGGACATCATTATTGTGTTCTCAGAACAAGAAAGTGTTCCATTGCAAAGGAAACAAACAAAAAGGTCCTGAATACCAATGCTTCCAAACATGTGATTTCTCTTACTTGGCAGGAGCCATAGCATTGGGTTTCAGTTTTGTCCAGGAAACAGTCTTTGTCTGGCGCCACCTGCCCTTTTGGCAGGCTGGACCCAAATGTTCTTTGACTTAACAAATACCTATTAAGCACCAGCTGTGTGCCAGATACTTACCTAGAGGCTTCTCTAGGCAGTGAAGATTCTGATGAGCTACACAGATAGGGTCCCTGCATTCACAGAGCTGACATCAAGGGTGGGTACTAGGATAGATAGGAAACCAAGGAAACAAATAAGGAAGCTAATTTTAGAGAGCAGTGAATGCTATGAAGGTAATAAAGGAAGGGTAACATGACTGGGAGTGACCCAAGGTGGTAGAGTCACTACTACTGGGACCTAGGCTCTGGTACTCAGGCATCTGATCCTGGCTGTGCACTGATACATGTCTTGTGATGCCACAGAGCCTTCTACCTGGTGCTAGTTTTCCCTGCACTTCCTAGAAAGCCCCAGACTCTCCTTAGCTTAAATGAGCTTCCTTTATCATCAAACACAATCAAAATGTCAAGGACTGGAATCAGTGCCTGGCCGAAGGCTGTGGAATAGGGTCAATCTGGATTGACTCTAAGGAGCTCCTTATATCAGTTTTAGGGCCACATCGCCACAGCTGTGGGCTGGGGTTATTAGTCACTGACTCTTTGACTGAGGACTCTCCATTCTGTACCTCAACCCTGTGTCTTCTGAACTCCAGACACACGTGTCCAAGGGCCCAATAGAAGTAGGTTTCAGTCTGCTGAAAGGGTAGGCGTTCTCCTGGCATCCCAAATTCTACAAGACCAAGCCTGCCCCCCCGACCCTTGCTTTTTTCCCAGACTTCAACCTATCAACCTATTCTTCATCTCAACAAATGATATTACCTTCTTCCAAGATGCTTCCCAGGGGTATAACCCTTGACTCTTCTCCAACATCCAAGTTAGTACCAACTCCGGTATTTTTACTTCCACATGTATCTTGAATTTACCCTCTTCTTTCCATCCTCACTGCTGTTACCTTATCTCAGCCCATTACTGTCTGACTGTAATTAACGTAACCGCAGTCTTGGTCCTTTTGTCCAGCTATTTACACCTTAGATTCTTCTCTAAGATAAAAGTCTAGTGAAGATACTGCACTGCTTTAAATCCTTCAATGGCTCGCCATTGCTCTCACATAAAATTGGAGTCCTTTGACATGGCGGCCTACAGGCCTGCTGTGACATGGGCCCGCTCCTTGCTTGCTATCCTCTCCCAGCAGCTCCCTGTCCCCGTTTCTAGGCTCCAGACACACCTGTCAGCCCTTCAGTGGTGCCATATGTTCTTCTACCCCTAGTTTCTGCAGACACCTGAAACACCTCCTTCAATCCCACTTCACTATCTTTGATCTGGATAAGATATATTCCTTTCTAATACCTGACAGTGAAGCCACTTCCTCTGGAAAGCCTCTAACTACCCTTACCTCCAGCCCAAAGTCTGGGTTAGGATCCCTTGTATGTCCTCATATATATTTTGAGGCCCTTGAAAATACTTTAAGTTCTATTAAGATCCAGAGAAAATGAACTTTTAGGTCAAAGAAAATGTTTTAATATATAATATTAGTATATTTGTCTTTAAATAAATAACCAGCATCATAAAATATAATTTAAAATTTTTTTTATGGAGGAAAAGGCTCATGAAAGAAAAAGTGCCTACATAATACAGTAAAAAGCTCTCAAGTTACAAACAAAAAAAACAAAAAATGATAAGGAAGAATCACTGAAGTTTTTAATTCAGGAGATTTATCCTTTGGTCAATTTCTACCTCTTAATTTTTCTTTCCTAAACATAAGTAAAGAAATCTTTAAAAATCTTAACTATATATAGTTAAGCAAGAGTACATCTTAAAATTTCAAATTTTAAGTTAGGTCTTAATTCCTAGGATATTTGAAGTTTTGGCAATAAGATATTTTTCCTAGAATGATTTTTTTTTTATTTGAAATAAGTCCATATGTAAACTAAAATCAGGCTTATCTGAGAACTACATAACATTGATTTTTTGTGTTTGGAGACTATTCGAGACAGCAGTGTGGCCAGGAATACATGTGTGAGGCTTCAGAAATGCAGGGCAGGGGTCCCTGTCACCTGGGTCTTCTGTTTTCTTAGTTTTGGTATCTTAAATATTCATGACATCATTTTTCTGAGGGAAGGTATTATAAATCATTCTAATTCCATTCTATAGCACTTGGTACCATTCTGAGCGTATAGTAAGCAGCAACAGAAGCATTTTTGGCTTGATGAGATATGCAGTTAGAATTGCTCAAATGGGAGGTATCAATGGCAGGAATTGGAATCTTATATAATTCTGGGTTATTTAACAAATTTAAAAGGATGGTTTTCATTGGGAAGAGGGTTATTAGGGAGAAGAAGAATAGTCCTGTCATTCATGAACTTCTCTGGAAAGTAAATTTTTGAAGACAATTTATTTTTGAAAGAAACACAAAGTCATCTTTGCTCTGCTTTCCACTCTCTTACTCTTTTCCTCCAACAGTCATAAAAGATTATGTTTTTTGAAAGTACTGAACACTGTCCTACTTGTCAAGTTCAAATATAAGCTTTGGCCAGAGTTAGAGCTCCAAGCTCCCTCCAGATGCCTGAAAGGGCAGCCTTGCCAATTAGACAGGTTCAGGTTGAGACGATTCCCCCCAGGTGGCAGTATGACCCCCCTCCAAGGCCTGTCCAACGAGATATTACAAAACAGGTCCACCAAGAAAGAAGGGAGTAAACATGTTTGATCAGATTTCCCTGGAAAAAATCATTTTAATTTCTTGCTTGTCTTCCTAACAGTTCTCCAAAGCTTCGTACTTTGGCCAGAGGTTTGTCTCCTGCGTACCTGAGATTTGGTGGCACCAAGGCAGACTTTCTCGCTTTTGATCCCAAGAAAGAGCCAACCTTTGAGGAGAGAAGTTACTGGGAATCTCAAATCAACCAGGGTGAACCTTTTTAAAAATTAACTGTTTATTTTCATAAACTTCAGTCAGGCATTCAGTAAGAGTAAGGGCTCCCAACTGACCTGTGGAGGCACCTACACAAAAGAAGGAAGCAGTGGGCAGGTTTCCTCCTCCTGATGTGTTCATGAAATGCGACACCTCACAAGAAAAGGTGTGCTGGGCAAAAGTGGGAATTAATTGTGCATAAATAGAACAATGATAGCAGCTGAAAGACAGAGCTGCTTAGAGGGAACTGTAGGTAGAAATGTCTCAAACTAAAGAGTATTTCCAGCTGAAGGCACAGCAATGGATTGAAAGCATTTTATTCTGGAAATAGAGTGCAGTGAAAGGCATAGGAAGAGGACAGGAGATACAGTTGGCTTCTAAGAATAGATTTGAAGACTTATTGGACAGTGGTTCTCAAACTTTGTTGACTATACATAATCACCTGGAGTGAGTTTGAATGTTTGGATACCTGGGCTCCATCCTTGGTTCCAAGTTTAGCCAACTTCTCAGTTACCATGTTTTGCCGTGTATAATGTGCACCCCACATTTTTGGCCCAAACTTTCAGGGGAAAAATCTTTCATTTTAAATTTTTTAATCAATTATTTATTTATTTATATTTACATACTTGTTTTTTGTATTATAAAGGAATTTTAGCATTTATTTTTGAACATATAGACCTCATTATTGCTTTCTAGAGTTACACTTTAATACATAAGCACAAATAAAAATTAAAAACATATATAGATATGGAATTAGTACTACCCATGTATAGTGTGCATCTTTGTTTTTCCCTCAGAAATTTGGGCAAAAGGATGCACATTATACACAGCAAAATATGGGCAATTCTGATATGGGAAGCCCATGAGCTTCACCAGAGAAACCTGCCCTGGGAAGCCATGAGGATTTGCCCCATGTTTTTCTTAAGTGCTGTACAGGCATCAGATGGAAGTTGAATCATTGTCTTAACAATTATGAAAAATATGTACTTTGTTGAATGATAATATATATAATGTATATATTAATGAATATTTCATTTTTCACATATTATGTATTTTCTTGCTGTTTATTTTCTTCACTTAACAAGTATTTAGAATAGTAGCCCAGTAACTGGGTCAAAATTGACAAATAGTAATTTAAAAAAAAGGAAAAAAAGCAGGACAGTTCTCTTGGAATAATGCATTGGAATAAATCATGTTTAGATTTAGCCCTTTCCCACCAGTCATAATGTGTTCAGAAGGTCTCATAAGTTTAGATCAGAAGCTGTCCTTTGCTGATCAATTTTCTTAATTCTGTTTGGGGTGGGGGTGGGGAGGCCACTAGAATTATCCAAGTGCTTCTGAAACATCCTTTGTGAGCACAGGGATGGCAAATGCCCTGGCTGCCAGAAAGCCAGCATGTGCAGCTTCCCAGAAAGGAAGTCACTGGTGGGTCAGCCAGCCCTGGCAGCAGGCCGCTGGCAGCCCTGTTGTCTTGTGATAAAGAAGCACAGTCTGCCTGAAAGCACACTGGTGGATTTTCCAGGTGCTCGTGTTATGGTCTCAGAAGCTTTGAAGATACCAAATTTGGAGGAAAAAAAGTCCAACATTTCCTGTCCTTCCATATGGCAAGAGGATATCGCCACAAGTCAGACATATAGCCCATGCAAAACAAATTTCTATGTATTTTTGGAGGTGAACCTTTAGAAAACTGAACTATGCTTTCTTCAGAGAGGTTCTCTGGTAATTTCAAGTTTCTGAGGAGCTTTCTGAATTGTAAAATAACCTGAAGTTATGCCCAGTGTACCTGTGTCCCATGTATGGCCAGTGGTTCTTAGGAAGCCTGCCCTTTGTTTTTTCATGGTAACTGGTTAGCCAGCAAACATGACTTCTGTAACAGAATATGTTTTCTCTGATCACATACCTAATAACCAGAAACTTAATTATCTTACTTTAGTCACATAAATATCCACCTAAATAAATGTATGGGATTTCAACCTTATCATTTTGAAATAGTTATCCTAAATTATCTTTGGTTTGCAGATATTTGCAAATCTGGATTCATACCTTCTGATGTAGAGAAGAGGTTACAGTTGGAATGGCCGTTCCAGGAACAATTACTACTTAAAGAAGAGTATTACAAAAGATTCAAGAACAGCACCTATTCAAGTAAGAAATGGATGGCACCCTGCAAGTGTCTCAGCCCCAAAACTATTTGGATAGCTTGAATGTGGGCTTGAATCTAATAAGCCTTACAGCAGTATAAAGCTGCACTATACTTAAGAGCTATCAAGAGTTAATGGGAAGTCTTGAGCCCAAAACTTCTGGGGTTTTTTTTTTTCCTTTCCCTCACCTGCCTTTGCCTACTACCAACACAGTAAAATATAGAAATCATTAACTCATAAGCTAATAATAACCTTAGCTTCTCTGAAGAACTAAGAAATCAAGGAAGACATAGATACATTCGTCGTGTAAAATATAAAAGTATAAAGAGTAGAAAGTGAAAACCCTTACACCTTGCTGTCCATTCTCTCTCCCCTCCCAGAAGCAACCCCTGTGAAGAGCTGGTGTTTCATGAGGCAGGGGAATCCTGGGTCTCCCCAGACAGCCTTGGCCACCAAGCCACTTTCTGTTTTTCTTTCCTCTGTGGATTTGCAAACACAGGAGAAGCTTGCTAACCAGGAATTTATTTCCATTCACTGAACTTGTTTTCCAGTCTTCAGAATGGGATGATGTTGTTACTCCACAGGGCTTTGAAGCAACTGAAACAAGCAAGACTTATTTAACTGTGAAATATATTTTAACTGAAAGTTGGTGTTTTATACTCCCCTAAGGGATGATGTTGTCCCAGATCTCACTTAAGGAAATAATCTGCTCAGATAGTCTACAACTGCCTTCTTTTGACTTTTGAAAAATAAATTATCTTGAAGTTAATTTGGGTTAGTCAGCATTTTTTAAGTGTATTTTATTGATTATGCTATTACAGTTGTCCCATTTTTTTCTCCCTTTTATACCCCTTTGCCCAGTACTCCCATTCGCTCCAGCACCCCACGCCCCTTAGTTCACATCCATGGGTTGTACATATAAGTTCTTTCGCTTCTCCGTTTCCTGTACTATTCTTAACCTCTCCCTGTCTATTTTGTACCTACCAATTACGCTTATTCCTTGTACCTTTATCCCCATTCACACCCTTTCCTTCCCTGCTGATAACCCTCCATGTGATCTCCATTTCTGTGATTCTATTCCTATTCTGGTTGTTTGCTTAGTTTGTTTTTGTTTTTGTTTTTGTTTTTTAGGTTCAGTTGCTGATAGTTGTGAGTTTGTTGTCATTTTACTGTTGATAGTTTTGATCTTCTTCTTTTTCTTAGACAATTCCCTTTAACATTTCATATAATAAGGGCTTGGTGATGATCAACTCCTTTAACTTGACCTTTCCGGGGAAGGGCTTTATCTGCCCTTCCATTCTAAATGGTAGCTTTGCTGGGTAGAGTAATCTTGGATGTAGGTCCTTGCCTTTCATGCCTTTGAATACTTCTTTCTAGTCCCTTCTTCCCTGTAACGATTCTTTGGAGAAATTCATTGATAGTCTTATGGGAACTCCTTTGTAGGGAACTGTCTCCTTTTCTCTTGCTGCTTTTAAGGTTCTCTCCTTATCTTTAATCTTGGGTAACTTAATTCTGATGTGCCTTGGTGTGTGCTTCCTTGGGTCCAACTTCTTTGGGACTCTCTGAGCTTCTAGGATCTCCTGGAAGTCTATTTCCTTGGCCAGACTGGGGAAGTTCTCCTTCATTATTTATTCAAGTGTTTTCAATTTCTTGCTCTTCCTCTTCTCCTTCTGGCACCCCTATGATTCAGATGTTGGAATGTTTAAAGTTGTCCCAGAGGTTCCTCAACCTCTCCTCATTTTTTCGAATTCTTATTTCTTCATTCTGTTCTGGTTGAATGTTTATCTCTTCCTTCTGCTCCAAATCATTGATTTGAGTCCTGGTTTCCTTCTCTTCACTGTTAGTTCCTTGTATATTTTTCTTTATTTCACTTTGCATAACCTTCACTTCTTCCTTTATTTTGCTGCCCTATGCAATCATTTCTGTGAGCATCCTGATTACCGGTGTTTGAACTTTGCATCTGATAAGTTGGCTATCTCCTCATTGCTTAGTTCTTTTTCTGGGATTTTGATCTGTTCTTTCATTTGGGCCATATTTCTTTGTCTTGGTGCACCTGTTACATTGTAAGCAATGGAGCCTTAGGTATTCACCAAGGTGGGGCAGCCCACAACCCACCTCTCTGTGTTGTGGCACTGTATGTGGGGGAGGGGTCAGAGAGGGAACAGTGCTGCTTGCACGGCTCTCGCCCTGCTTTCAGTCACTTCCTCTGCTACTCACAAGCAAATTGGGCCCTTCTGGTACTGATTCCCAGGTGAGTGGGTTTGTGCACATTTTAGGATCCCATGGGTCCCTCCAATGGACTCTATTGTGAGACTGGGAGTTTCTCCTGCTGCCGCTACCCATACAGGTTTTTATATCCAGAGATTTTGAGGCTTTAGTTTCCCATGCTGGAACCCTGAGTTGTGTCGTCTGTCTCTCTCCCTAATTGTTCCTCCTGGTTTATCCACATGCAAATATGAGACTGCCAGTCCTCCAGCCACTGCCTTGCTGTGTGTCGTCTCCACCCCAGCTGCCCATCTCTGCCCCTCCTACCAGTCTGGATGAATGTTTCCTCTTTAACTCCTTGGTAGTCAGACTCATACAGTTAAATTTTTTGCAGTTCTGATTGTTTTTTGTTTTTAAATTGGTTATTATCCTTCTTTTGTTGTGCAAGGAAGCAAAGGGTATCTACCTATGCCTCTATCTTGGCCAGAAGCCAGCATTTCTAAAAGTACATTATTGAACGTAAATTATCTTTGTAAGGTTTTATTGTACATTATCTAGATTTCAGTGTATCCCATGTATTTTTAATTTTTATTTTTTTATATATAAGATACAGGAAAAAACAACACTAGGAAATCAGAAAATATGTTAGATGCTAATAGGTAATGTAGTTCTCTAAACTATTTTTTGCATTTTAAAATAAGGGCACTACTCTGACACTTTAATAATGTGATCTATGTTTGAATAGAATTTGGCATAAGGCAGGACCATCTCTGATCCCATTAAAGGGATGACAGAAGTACAAGAGAGACCTACAGCAGTAAGATCTCATTTGCAATAAATTTTTATGCTGTGGGCCTGCTAGGAGAAGACCCTGAGCATTAAGTAATCTACAGACTCCCACTTTTTTATTATGTTAAACATTATACCAATTTATCTTCAATTTTCCTTAAAAAAAAAAAAAAAAAGGTTTGCTACCTGTCCTGATCTTTCTAGAACCAAAATGGTAGATTTTCAATGTTTTTCCTGCCTTTGAGACTTGGACCTTCATACTTCCTACACCAGGGGAAAGTTCCTGTACCAACTACATAGTAATGAGGTCAATATAACTCCAGCCACCCTCGTGGCAATGAGAAAATGTATAATAAAAACAGATAGTTTATTTGTATTTGGAAACATTCGATTTCTCATTTGAAATTTTCTATTTTAATATGCATGTCTTGCAAACATATAAATAGGAATGTACTGTGTTTATTCTGGGCACAACTTATTACAGTGATAAGTATCTCAGGAGCCAGTAGGAGTTTTCCAGCCACTGTTCTGCATCCATAGCTGAGGTTGGTAATACCTGGGCGACTTAGGCTGGTGTCATACAATGGGAGAGACAGCAAAAGTCTATTGTGGCAAAGACATTTTGCTTAGTTTGTGGCCTGTTCCTTAAAAAGGGTGTTCTAGAAGATACAGGTAAGTTTTCTAGTTCTAGGACCCTTTGGATGGTGTGTTTCTCTTAAGTAGAAGATGACAAAAGCATTTGTCATGAGAATGTAAGCTCACACTGTAAACCTGTTAGGACAGGAAAAGAAGCAATGTTACCAGTATAATTCTGGATGTGACTTCAGAAAGGAGGACTCTCTTATTAAGATAATCACATTTAATGACCTGATTCTTTGCTTCTTTTCTCCACCTCTCCTCCTCATTACTGCAGTTCTCCACCCCACCACCCATTCCCACGCTGGCTGCTGGACACACCTATATAAATGTACATGGTACAGTGTGACACCAGGGAAAGAGTCGGTGCCAATTTTTAATGTCATCCAGATCACCCTTGTCCCAGGGATCTTTCCATGCTCTCATTCAGGAAGAGATAATAGATTGGATAATGATCAGGATTTGGATAATTAGCTGTGAATTCTCTTATTGTTCTTATTTTGAGGAGTGAGTAGGGTTTTTGTTGTTGTTTTTTAAAGAGTGGATTTAAACTCAGTAATATACAGCTCTTACGCTAGGAGATGTGACTGCTATGTTACAGGGGCCATTTAATAGAATTTCAAGCTAGATACCTTCTAAGTGGATTTGGAAAAATGACAAAATAGTGGAAGAGTAAAGTATGAGTTGAATAAATACTCTAAAATACAACCATTTCAGATTTTTTGAAAACACCATAATCGCCCCTCCCCCTTCCCATTCCATCTGTAAGTAGGAGAGTGGAGCCTGGAGATCAGGACTTACGATTCCTGACCCAGGACACTTTCTGCAATATGTAAGGCTAAAATATAGCTGTGACTAAGGTAGTTACCGGACTTTTATAATAGGCTCTAGTAATGGCACTGCCGCCAAGAGCTATGTGATTTGGGCAAAGCACTGCATTTATTTGGGTGTAAGTTTCCACATAGAAAACTGAGGGGGAAGGTTTGGGAGGACTCTAATCCCAAAGGCCCATGCTGTCTGCAACTGTGGCTCTAAGATCCAGTGGAACACTGGGCCGCAGAACTCAGAGAGCTTTGCACACCCCAGTGTCTGTAAGTCTGAGGACAGGCAGCAGCTTTGGGGCAGTGAGTGACACAGCAAACATCAAAAACATCCAAAACCCTTGCTTAAGGTCATTTTGCCTCTCAGCCTTAATCAGCAACATTAAGTCTAGGTTTTACTAAGGAATTCAAGTTGAAGACTTAGAAAAAACAAAAACAAAAACAAAAACAAAAACAAAAAAATACAAGACCACTTTTAAGGAGAAAGGGTATAAATTTGCCAGATAATTTATTTTTTAAACTAGGAGAGTTCTAGAGTGAATTTTGATTTAACCAGTGATTCTAAATACACATGAAAATCTGAGGAATTTTTTTAGCATATGATAACTACTTTAAAGATAATGCTAAAAATTCATGTTGCCACTCAAAAAGTGACTATAGATTAATAATTTAAACATCTGAGTTCAAAAGTTCTCAAACTTTTATGGCACTTTAGTGACTTAGTAATTTTTTTCACCATATATCTAGCTCCCCGAAAATACCTAAGAGTTCCAATTATTAAGCTGTTGCTAGGTAATTAGGTCCTAACAACCTGATAGTAATAATTCTCTTCATGTCCAACAGAAGTTGATGTGTTTCCCTTGCAAATTTCAAAGATTCCTCTGTGCCCCTCTGATTGGGTCAACTGGTTAAATTTGAATTTCGGATAAATAATAATTTTTTACTGTATTTCTCAAGTATTGCATAGGACATGCACTACAAATTATACATTATTGATCTGAAGATCAATTTAACCAGATACCCTATATTTTTATATACATTTATTAAATTTAGTGGATAACATTAGCTAATAAGATTATATAGGTTTCAAGTGCACATTGCTATGATACATGATCTGTGTCTTGCCTTGTGTGCCTACTACCAAAGTCAAAGCATCTTCTGTTACCACGTATTTGACCCCCTTGACCCTTTAGTATTCTCCCAGCCCTTTTTTCCTCCGGTAACCGCCAATACTGTTGTCTGTGTCCATGAGTTTTTATTTGTTCATTATTTTTGTTTGTTCACTTGTTGCTTTCAGTTTTATGTCCCACACATGATTGAAATCTTGTGGTTCTTAACTTTTTCTGTCTGACTTATTTCACGTAACATAAAATTCTAAGGTCTATCTATGTTGTTACGAATGATGCCCTGTATTTTTATTTGCTAACTCTGACAACCACACCAGTGAATTCACTGTGCCTCTCTAGGGTGCCTTGGCACACAGTTTGGAAACCATGACTTTGAAGCCCTAGGCCAGTTTTTTAATGTAAAATTCTATTTACTTAAAAGTACTAAATCATATGCATGAATTTTTCAAAAAAATGTTTTAAATATAATTAAACTTACCAAAATATTTTGTGACTGGGTTTGTAAGTAAAGATATTTAGATTATGAAGAGTGTGGCTTACGTTGACTAACGAAGGTCTGACCTTTGCATGCTGAGTACTACTGAGCTGGTAAAAAATGGATTTTCCAATTCACCTGAGGTCACTTGAACAAAATCTGAGTGCCAGACCAAAGATTTTGGTACCTCTATGAGACTTAATTCAACAGCTGAAGAAAATAAAATTACACTGATTTTTTTTGAATTTTCCAGTCCAATTTTGTTGCCTCTCAATCGTAATTATAGTGACTCATTAGGACAAGAATTCCTTCAACTTAACAACAGAAAGAATAATTCACTATGAAGAACAAATCTGGAGGCCTTCATCAATTTAGTAGGTAGGTGCCAGCCTAACTATTAAATTACCTTTTTCTTCCAGGAAGCTTGGTGGATACACTGTATACTTTTGCAAATTGCTCAGGCCTGCACTTAATCTTTGGTCTAAATGCCTTACTACGCACAGCAGATTTGCAGTGGAACAGTTCTAATGCCCAGTTGCTCCTGGACTACTGCTCTTCCAAGAGTTATAACATTTCCTGGGAACTAGGCAATGGTAAGTATCCCTGGGCACATTTCATTAATGAGATTCCTCTTTGGCATTATTTGTCTCTATTTATGACATTCTTTTTTAATATGCTTTTTGGCACCTTTGTACCATGCTCAGCAGTGCAGCTTTTGGATGGTTTAAGGCAGGAAACTCCTTTGTATATCCTAAAATCTACTGCCAATCCCAGTTTATATTACATGTGAACTGAAGACAACTCATTGAAACCAGCAACTTCCACAGCTCCCAGGTTCCCTTGAGATTTTCAGGGTCACTTAAGCCTATTATGCCTGGCAGGCTGAACATCAGCAAAACTGTAAAGGAAGTAGTTTGCTTTTACCCTTCCATTCCTTTCTCTGTTTCTTGACTTGTCAGTTAATTTCAGCAACCCCATTCCAACCCCACATGATATGCTCAAGCTAAAAATTCTCAGTGTAGAATCCAGATCTAGCCCTGATTGTCTCCTTCTTCACTCTTTTTTTGCAAGGAACTTGTAAATTCTAACTAAAGCACAAATGATTAGCCACATTCATTCCAACATATTTATAATGCTTTTCCACACATCAGCCAGTGGAACCGAAGATAAAATGGGAAATGAGATGTAGTAATAATGATGAGCACTGTTGTGACCACTTAATAAGCGTAAATTTATTTTATCTTTTAACCACCCTGAGGTGGATACAATTGTGACCATTTCATAGATGACAAAAGAGGCACAGAAAGGTTAACTGAATAGCTTTGTGATGCTGAGCAACTCTTAGAGGATTCTTAAAGAAGTTAGGATTTGAACCCAGGTCGTCTGGCTCCAGAACAAGGTCTCTGCTCTCTTGCGGCTTCAGTTCTAGAAATAGGGAGCCAGACCAACAAGAAAACAAGCCAAGAAATGATGCATGCCTGTAGTGATATGTGTTATAATAAAGTCTAGAAGCAAATTTTGTGATGGGGTTGCTGAGGATAGCTGACAACTTGGAACCTGAAAGCAGAATAGAAGGATGGAGGCAACTGTATCTTAGCCAGATGATGAACAATTTTACCCTAACAGCCATATGAATAATAGGTCATCTGAACCCATACATACCCATCTCCATACATCCCTCCCTCCCTACTTTTCTGCCCTCCACATGCCCAACTCCGTCTGCTCTTCAGAGTGAGATAAAAGAGAGATGTCACGCTTCCCTCTTCCCTGGGCCCCGTTTTGCAAAGAAAAGGCCTGGTTTCCAGGGTAAAGCTATATTTGGGAAGTAGTTGGGACACCATCTGTGCCTCCCTGCCATCTTCAGCTTTGCTAATTCTAGGCTCATTTGCACATATAATTTGTGAGTAAATAGGCTCAATCAGACTTTGTTTTTTAATCCTTGCTTATTGATTTTAGTGAGGGGGAAAGGGAGGGAGGGAGTGGGAGAGAGAAACATCGATCGGTTGTCTCCTGTAGGCTCCCTGACCCGGGATCAAAACCACAACCTCAGTATATACCCTGACTGGGAATTGAAGCCGAAACCTTTTGGTTTACAGGATGACACACCAACCAACTGAGCTACATTGGCCAGAACATGTCTTAGTAAGACTTTTAATGGCATTGTAGAAACTGGTTTTGAAAAGCCTTTCCCCAAAGCCATTTCTTTTTAAAAAAATTGGGTTATTAAATACTGAACACAAATTTTTTTCAGTGATCTTTTTGTTTAATATTCCCATTATTAATTTCAAATTGTTTTAATACCCCATCATACTTGTTGTATAATGCAAGATTTTATTTTTCTACTATATCTTCTTTGTAACTAGAGGTCTGACTTTCCTTGACTTTGGATTCTAAGTTTTTATAATTTAAAAAATGCTTTGTTGCTTTTAAAATATGCTGCTGTTATGTTTGCTGTTAAATAAGAAATTTCTGCATAAGTGATTATTTTGAAAATTGCTCTTTCAGAACCTAACAGTTTCCGGAAGAAGGCTGGTATTTTCATCGATGGATTACAGTTAGGAGAAGATTTTATTAAGTTGCATAAACTTCTAGGAAAATCCACTTTCAAAAATGCAAAACTCTATGGTCCTGATGTTGGTCAGCCTCGAGGAAAGATTGTTCAGATGCTGAGGAAGTAAGAGCTCGAGGAAGCAAAATCACTTTTCTTAAAAATCAGATTTCTCTCTGGTGTGGAATCTTCAACAGTCCACCTGTTATTAAGCAGTTTGCTACCTAACTAGATGGTTTTCTGAAAGAGAAAACATTGACTGGCTCCAAATACCAAGGATTTGGGGCAAATGGTGCCTATGATAAAATTTGTATCTGAGTTAGGAAGTTTGTGTTTGCCTGATCCTAAAGTATTAACCATCCCATTTCTAAGGAATCAACCTCTTGTTCAAATATTGTATATTGATACTGTGTTTATGAGAATTTAGTGATAACATAATAGATTTTTTTTCTAGTTTCCTGAAGGCTGGGGGAGAAGTGATTGATTCAGTTACATGGCATCAGTAAGTATGTCTCCTGTTCTTAGCACTAAAAAAGTACTGCTAGCTGTACTTACTACTTAATTTCAAAAAGTATTTCCATTTCACTGCTAATTGGCTTTTGTAAGAATCAGATAGTGTCTCAAACAGTACTGTACTAGAATTTTAATATTAACAAAACAAAAATTTAAACTTATTTTAAGTAATGTGGTTGTTTCTACATGATCAAGGCACACTCTCCTTTAACTCATGGAAAAGATAAGTAGCAAAAGCCAATGTGCTTGCCAAAGAACTAGTAACCCATGAGTACCTGCACTCAAGACGAAGTAACTGATCCCCTTCTATAATGGTCTCTCTATAGTAGAACTTCTGCCATTAAAAAAAAACAATAAAACAGGGAGGTTGGAAGAGGTAGTAAAAAGAGCAAGTTCAGCCAATGAACTCTAAAGTAGAATGTAAAGATTGGTTTTTTTTTCTGAACATTTTCTAAATAACTTAGCTATTACTTGGATGGACGAACTGCCACCAGAGAAGATTTTCTAAACCCTGATGTGTTGGACACTTTTATTTCAGCTGTGCAAAAAATTTTTCAGGTAATAGTCCTTTTCCCTTTTTAATGTAAAACCAGAGTCCTTATTCTGTGGTTTTAGCTGGTGCTACATTCTGTACCTATAGAAATTAGTGTGTTTTCTAATTTTAGAGAACAGATGCTAGTCTTAATCACCTTCAATTCCTCCTTAGCATCAGGTCTTATCCATGTACGTTAATTAGAAATTAAAACTACTTCCAACAACAATAACAATAAAAAATACTTCTAATAGCCTTTTGGTAGAATTAGCTTTCATAAACCATAAGAATGGGATTATTTACATTTCTCCCACACCTAGTATTCCAGTAAAAGAACATTGCCTAAGACCTAAATGACTATGAACATCTTTTGTAACTATTTTGGACATATGGGTCTGGGAATACAAGATTTTGAATACGGTTAACCTTCAACACCATCACTGGTCAGCTTGTTTGCAGTTACCATGGAGATGTTCCTGTTCCATAGGTTGTTGAGAAGACCAGACCCCACAAGAAGGTTTGGTTAGGAGAAACAAGCTCCGCATACGGGGGTGGAGCGCCCTTGCTGTCTGACACCTTTGCCGCTGGTTTTCTGTGAGTGAAGTAGCACTTGCCCCAGGGAGCTGGCTGCAGCTGCTCCGTCTATTCCGTTGAAATAGCTCATCAGCCAAAAGTTTAATCAAAGATGGTTTCTGTGGCTAAGCCCCAAAATTTGTGCCAGATTTTGCAACAGAATGATTTACTAAAAGCTTTTTGGACATCTTTAACATGCATTCCGAATTAATCACTGTATGAATGAATTGCTTTAGAAGTTTTGTTCCTTAATTGTGGCCCATGAACAGGCCAAGGATTCCTTTTCTAAATAAGTACATTGTAAAAACAAAAATACATTGTAAAGGACAGTATCTAGAGCCCTGACTCTATGAAGCATATGCAGTACTTGCTACACAGTGTTTATAGATTCCCAGTGAGATTGGAGCCTGACGTGTGAGGTCACACCAGCAGGGCTGCCAATGAATTTAAAGATTTACTAAACCATCTCCCACTCCAACCACCACAAATAATCGCTTTAAACAACGGTTACTCTGCCAGCTGTGTTAATACCATTATGATGGTCTTGCCCTTAAGATGCTTTATAATTATTAAAGCTACAATTTTTATTTTAATTTTTAAAAAAAAACAACTGGTTAACTTGCATTTCGTAATCCTTTTACCACTCTTAATCTCTAGCTCTATACTCTCACATTGAGACTTATTCTCTTTCCTCTCCAACCTACATTCTTATAAGCACAGAATAAAGTATAAATTGTTTATGCTCATGGGAGCATGATGAGTAGAGAAAAGAGTGGAGATGTTTGATTTGCCATTAACTAAGGATGAGGGTCAGGTGATGCCCATGAAAGTTTAGGTGTGATTCTATTTACTTCACATTTCACTGCTATTGACTACAAGCAGCCCTGTAGTCTTTAGAACTCATGTGGTGATTAGGGGTACACCCAAGGACAAGGAATAATTAATTGTCTATAGTGGTGGGTTGTCTACTCTGCTTTGTAGGTATTGCCTTACTCTGCAGGGGACTTCAATGGCATAGTAATAGTCTTCTAGGATTTGTTATGGGAACATGTGAAGGGAAGGATAGTCTCTACTTCATTTGAATGACTTACTTATAATTAATACCACTTTTCTGATTTCCTGTCAATTCCACATTGATGAATAATCAGAAATAAGTTATTTTGTTTTCCAAACCTGAAGAAAGCTGGGCCTCACTCTGTTGCAGGTGGCTGGATAAACTGGGCCTGTCAGCCAGACTGGGCATAGAAGTGGTGATGAGGCAAGAGTTTTTCGGAGCTGGAAAGTATCACTTAGTGGATGAAAACTTCGAACCTTTACCTGTAAGTGACCATTATTCTCCTGTTTCTGTGAGTGCATTAGAGTATACTGAGGACCCCTTGCATTAACCTCCAATAAACTGAGAATCTTCTCAATAAATTCAGTGCTCTCAGTAAGTAGCCAAACCATGGAGAGGTAAACTGGAAGAAACTTTAGAGATAATCCATTCTAACATTTTTGTGTCTCAAGAGAAGAAATTGAGACCCAGGAATAATGTTTTTAATGTGGGCCATTTTGGATGTGATGTGGGATTTTTTTAAAAGGGGTCATTTGATCCCTAGCTGGTATGGCTCAGGGCCAGCCTGCAAACTGAAAGGTTGCCCATTCAATTCCTGGTCAGGGCACATGCCTGGCTTGCAGACCAGGTTCCTAGTGGAGGTGTGTGAGAGGCAACCGAGAGATCTTTTTCCCTCCCTTCCTCTCTCTCTAAAAATAAATATATAAAATTTTTTTTTTAAAGAGGGTCATAGAAATTTTATGACTCTAGTTTTATAGGATATCAGATTTGGATCAAAAACATTTTACAAAGTAAATCAAAGTAAAATTGTACTTTTGGATATTGTAAAATTCCAAAGCTTTAAAATTTTTATGTCATAAAATCATAATGTATTTAAGACAAGCCAGTAGTACCATGTATTTGTTCAAAAATCCCACCCTAAGAATTGGCTATTTTGTTGAAAATCTTCAAGATATTTATGAATTTAAAAAACAGGTCTAATTTTCACCCTACCTCCAATTGCATCTGGTACTAAATTAGGTAATGTAGTCTTTCTGTCTAAAAAGCCAGCTGGAATATATATGTGACTAGAAGAATGACCTTGATTTTTATTGCCTAAAATGACATTTGAAAATCTAAATGTTAATTAAAATTGACATTAATTAAGAAGCATAACCTCACCTCCCTCAGGAAAGCAAAAAATAAAATAACATAACATAAAATAAAATAAAATGACGTTTGAGAATATCTGTTTTCTAGCAATAATTCCTAAAGAAAAGGAATGCTAAGAAAGTTTGCAAAAAGTACATGCCAAAATATAAGGTAGGCTTCTATGGTTTGTAGCCAGATTTCTCAACAAAACTGTTTTTAATCTATAGTGGTCAAAGCCCATGGAGAGCACCCTTCATAACTTTTAGAAAATTCTTCAAAAAATGACCTTGCACAAAATCAAATCTGTCTTCCCCAAGTATATGATGAGCCATTTATAGGGTTAAACCAAACATGGTAGTTTCATTAGGTAAATATCGAAATCTACTGCTGGCCTTTTCTTAAAGGGACCTTGAACAGGAAAGGTAAATAGTTTCTACAAAATTCACTTTGAGTACAACACCTAGAAATTAGCCAGCTTATCTTGTTACTCTTTGTAAGTAGTGCCAGTAACTTATTATGTTATCTAAGTCTTCTCAGTGCCCAAACATAAACCTTTGGCTTCAGAACCCTTTTATAAACATTAAATATACTTCTTCCTCAAGGTGTAGAATCAGCTAGCAAAACTTGTAGGAATAAATGCACTATGTTACTATTAATATGATCCAAGGGAGTTAGCCTTAAACCCATTGTACATATCTGTTTTCTTATCTAATGTGCCTAACAGTGCAGGAAGGTAGCAAGGCAGGTATCTTAGATCCATTTTTCGGATGAGGAAGTTTGAATTGATATGCAGTCACATGACTTGCTTGAGGTCACAAGGTTGTCCCATGTTATTCTAAAAAGTCCTATCTCCCAGGCCTCTGAGTGTTCCACTCTTCCAGTAACTGAAACGTGCTAAGATTATGTCCCCTTTGAAACATTTCATTGATTCCACTCTTGTCTCAAGAGAAGGTTTGAATTTGAATTTAAGCAGAGAAACAAAAGCTGCCCTGTTGAATCTACTTTCCCTCAGCTCAAGAAGAACTGAGGTATATACTGAGTGGGTTTTTTTGAACTTGTTATTATGGAAAAATTCAAAGTGACAGAAAAGTATATGAATCCCCAATCTTGTTTAGTCTGCAATTCTATCCAATGTTCACTGCCCACCTATTGTATTACTTTCAAGCAAATCTCAGATATATCACTTTATCTATAAATATTTCAGTATGTCTCTTCTTTGTAAAAATATAATATCATTAATATACTGTAAAATATTAACAGTAATTCCTCAGTATCATCAAATATTAAGTTAGTATTTCATATTTTTCTTATTGCCACAAATATTTTAATAGTATATTCAAATCCACAAGGTTCACATATAGCATTTGGTTGATATATCTCTTAAATCTATCTATATTAAAGTTCTCTTTCCCTCTCTTTTTTTTTTTTGGTCCCTTGGTATTAATTAAATAAAACAGGTAATTTGTTCTATAGTGTTTCCTGCATTATGGATTTTGCTAAGTTTATTCATTTAGCATGTTTCTCTGTCCCCTGTATTTCCTGTGAACTGTTAGTTAAAACTAGAGGCTTGAGCTTACTCAGAATTTTTTGTATTGTTTTGCAAGAATTCTTCATAGGCAATGTTGTATGCTCCCATCAACAGTCATATAATGTCTGGTTGTCTGTCTTTTTTTGATATCTAGTGATTATTGTTGCCTAATTTATTACTTTATTAAGGGGTTATAAGATTTTTAAAAAAGTATTTTAATCTCTTAAACAGAAATTTTATTTTTAAAACTTGTCTTTGTATTGTGTGTGCCTGAAAATTCTGCTTTGAGCTTTGCTTTCAATCCTTGGAAAATTGACAACAGATTATTTAAACTGTCTCTGAGCCATGAATTGCAGTCTTGACCTGTATCTCCTAGCAGGTATGGCCCCTTGAATTGTGGAAACATAGTCCTCTAGGGAAAAGTAGCAAACAAAATATTGCCCTCAGGTTCATGGGTAACATGAACCAAAAGGTGAATCTTATTTAAATACCTCTAGAATAACAGGTACACTCTTTGTAGTATAACTACTTGCTTGACATAGCTTTCGTTAAATGAAGAACTAAGTAAAGATCTATTTTCATCCCTCCCCTTCCCAACCGCCACAAGTAGGATTATTGGCTCTCTCTCCTATTCAAGAAACTGGTGGGCACCAATGTATTAATGGCAACTGTGAAAGGTCAAGCCAGAAGCAAACTTCGAGTCTACCTTCATTGCACAAACATCAACCAGTAAGCATGCAACATACTCTTTATGATCCAACAAGTTTTAATTAACAGGCACATAGCTTCCTTCCCTAACACCCTGTTGTCCTCTCACTATCTAGAGGGTCTAAGCTGTGTCATTGTTCTTTATTTTTTTCCTATTCATAATGATATGGTACGAGAATCTAACTAAAAAAAAAATGCTTAAATATTAGCATTTGAGTTTTACAGTGACTTTAATTGTCATAATCCATAATGGACATATACCCTAAATTTAAATAAAGACTAGTACCAATGTATTTATATATGAATAATTACCTTGTTGAATGACTGTGCATGAATATAAATATAAATTCATATGAATGAATAATTATATGACTATACTTATCCCCATGTATCATATCTTATCAATTTAATAAAGAAGAAGAATTAAAGAACAATAACAATAACAATCTTGTTTTCAAAAGTTTCAACCCAATTTCTGGGGATAAGAGGTCACAGACATTTTTGTAATTCGATATTTGGGACTTAATGGCAAAAAAGTGTTCCCAAATCTCAGAGATTTTTTTTCTTCTGTGTTTCAATCTGTCCTTCCTGACAGGGATGATAATTAAAATACCAATTCTAGCCTAATAGCCACCCAACACTCCCAGTTTCTGGAGAATAGGACTTTACAGATAGTGAGAGGTCCACTAGAAAGAAGTCAGTAGTTCGGATAGATAAATTCTGAAAAGTGTCATAAGATTTAATTTTCTTCTTTGTTTCACTCTTTTCATAAGGCTAGAAAAAGCTCCTGTTTCTATGGCTTATAATTCAAGTGCACATGAACCCACAGAATTCAGCTTTTACCTTTTAACCTTCCTATGTTTGAAAATGAATAAGCTGACTGGCTTCCTAGCAACTTAGCCTGGCACAACAGCAAAGATCTCAGCTCAAGACCAGAAAATGGTGCTGTGAAGAGCAATATGTATAATCGTGTTTTCAAATAGGACCACATTAGTGGTCTTACATTATCATAAAAGGAAGGGTAAAAAGAAGGCCCATCATCATTATAAATACTTAGTATCCATAATTATATTTATAATTAAGTTTTTAATTGCTTAAATGAGATAAATATTTTTATTGAGTTAATCTGTTTGCTTTTAGCCCAAGGTATAAAGAAGGAGATTTAACTCTGTATGCTTTAAACCTTCATAATGTCACCAAGCACTTCCAATTACCACATTATTTATTTGACAAAGAAGTGGACAGGTACGTTGTAAAACCTGCAGGACCTGATGGATTATTTTCCAAGTGAGTCATTTTCCTTGTTCATTTTAAACTTTCACCAAATTTATCAGTGTTTATCGGAATAGAGAATGTTGATAGAAAAAATAGTCAACTATGTCAAGTTTTGACAATTCTTAATATTCCGAAAGTTTATATATGAATACTTATTAGTACAGGTATAACTCTGAAAATCAAAAGCAGAAGGATATGAACACAAGCTAGTGTTTATTTTGAGGAGTAGTTTGCATTTTAAAATGATATATATGCATTTAGATTATTTTCTCTAAAAAAGACATAATTCCTGGTAACACAGCTGCAAAAGCAAAACATCTATATAAAATTGCTATTAAGGGCATGGGGGTTGGTGTAAACTATTATATTATGTGAGCAGGCGTGATTCTCTAACTGCATTAAAGTAGTTTTTTTAATTCGTTAGAGTAAGGAAAAAAATAGCCAAAAATGTACCTTTTAGGTGAATTATTTGAAGTTGGTTCAAACACATTTTGGTTTTAAAAGCCAGTCATTGAATATGTCATATAAAATACCCTATTAATAGAATATCCAAGAATGACTATGAGCTTTGAAGAGTTAGGCACACAGACATTATCAGATTTCTGTCCAGTATGTGTTGGAAGGAGCTCTTTTCATCATGGCTATTCTCGGATTGGTGTATAAAAAATTAAGGGTTTACGAAATTCTCATCATCTCTACCCATCTTTGCAAATGCTATGTGAGTGATGTTTTCAGTGACAATTAGCATCATAACCTGAAAAAGGACAGTAAACATGCTTTCTCCAAAGTCCTATGTTTCTCGAAAGTCCCCCATAGACAACATTATTAACACTGGATATCCTTCCTTTGTTTTTTCCCTAGGCTTTTTTTTTATTATAACTGTAGTTGTACAACCTCCAATAGGGAAAAGAGATGAGGAACCCACAAGTTTTCCTGTGTCTTTCCATGCATAGCCTTTGTAGACATTCTAAAATTTTTTAAATTGAATTTATTGAGGTGGCATTGGTTAATAAAATTACATAGGTTTCAGGTATACAATTCTATAACACATCATCTGTATATTGTATTATGTGTTCACCACCCTGTAGACATTTTTAATGTGTTGCATGTTTTATAAAACACCATGGCTTACTTACCCATTTTTCTACTGTTTAAACTTTTTTTTCCTATTGTAAATAATGCATATTTGGGTAACAGATACTTTTCTCTGTTTGGGTTCTGACCCTTTTTGAAGTGGGTATTTTTAGCATATTTGTGTCTGATGCTGATGAGGGAAAAGCTTTTGTAAAGTAATTCAATAATAGCAGTAGAGTTAGAAGGGTCTTAAGAGATCATTTTAGTCCAACCTTAGCTGGGTATCTAAGACCATTCATCTCTGATTCTACCTCTGATGAAGCTCACAGCCTTTCCTGGTGATTGTTCTTCCAGGCAGGGATAAAGGGGGCCACTCTGTGTCTTTTTTTCTGATGCTCTTAGTTTTGTTTTCTAGGGCAGAGGTTAGAAACTATACCTCATGCCTGTGGACAAGGGGGTTTAGAGAATTTTTTTTTTCCTTTTTTCCTGGAAGGGGAGGTTGGCATGCACTCTATGTTAATTTTTTAATTTTTTATCAGTTGTCAACATTTAACAATTGACAACTACTAAAAAATCTCTAACAATGGATACTCTGGCACCTCTGGACTTGTTCCTCCTATTAGATATGACCCTGTTATCTTATGCCTGTCCTACTGTACTTGCATATATAACATCCTTGGCCCCTCAGGGCATTTGAATTTGCTACCCTTAGTCTGGAGCAATGCCAACTACCTCATTTCCTCAAGAATAACTCTCAAATATTTGAAAGACAATTGGTTTGTTTTCCAGCTGTATTTCACTTGAAACTTTACAAATACATCTTATATTTCTTCATCATCATGTTACTGACCCCAGAATATGAAACAAGATACTCCTCTTAAATGACACCCTTAACCACATTGTCCAACCCAATGTGGAAATAACCAACATGCTTTAAGCTTACACTCAGCACACTGATAGTGTCTGGAAAAAGTTTAGCCGTTATTAATATAACTAGAATGGTTTGCGTGTCGCTGATGTAATCTGGCCGCCAAGGAGAGTGGACTAGAATGCACATGCATGAACAATGACAACTTCACTTACTAGTCAGTGGGGGTGGTAGATGCCATGGAGTATGTGTACTGTGTGGATGTTGCACTCAAAATAACTGAGCAAGTAGAGTAACAAATCTGCATCAAAATTTGCGTTAAGCTTGAACATTCCTCCTCGGAAACCATTCTGATGATTCAGAAGACTTTCAGGAATGATGCAATGAGTGCAGTGCAAGTAAAAGTGTGGCACAGTGCTTCAAAGATGGTCAAGAATCTGTTCAAAGTGATCCACATTCTGGAAGACCTGCAACAAGAACAAGACCTGAGAATGTTGAACGTGTATGGGCTGCAGTCAACAAAGATCAGCAACTGACAGTGCAAGAACTAGAAGCTGATCTGGGAATTCCAAAATCTACTGTGCCTGAGGTTTTGACACAGAATCTTGGCATGAAACATGTCATGGCAAAATTTTTTCCACGGCTTCTGCTACTGGAGCAGAAGGAACATCATGCTGCAGTTGGGAGAACTGTGTGAGGTCTCAAGGTGCCTACTTTGAAGGGGACTGAGGCATCATTGTCCTATGGACAATATTTCTTGTATGTTCAATAAATGTGTCTATTTTTCATAATACATGGCTGGATACTTTCTGGACATACCTTATTGTATTTCTAGCTGATTAGACAGTTTAGCCTGATGGAATGAATTATCTTGCCCATGTTTCACCAACCTAACCCAGAGCAGTATTAATTTACAGATATTCCTTTAAACTCTGTAGCCTAATTCAAAAGTCTTTCTGAAACATTTTGGTGTACCCTTGTGAGTGATCCTCAATGTCATGCAGAACAGCTCTTACTACTGTCATAGAGAGATGTTTTGAAGATCAATTTTTGTCTGTGGTCTCCTGACGATGATCATGGCATTTCCTCCTGGAGCCCATTGAAAGACTGATGTGATACAGGCATGAAAACAAACCCCGGTGCACGTGGACCAAGTGCAAACACAATGTGGGCTCTTTCGCCTCCAGCATAGGCATTTCATTGCTATGTCTTAAAGTACAGACAGTACAGACCCCAGGGCTGGGCCTCTAACCACAGTTAAATGGAGCACAGTTCTGACTAATAGGATAAAGCATGAGAGATCTTTAAAAATGAAATCTTTATAATAATGCTATATTGGAAACCATCAAATGTCTAACATTAGACGATCAAGTAAATAAACTAGCATTCTCATACATTGGAATCCTGTGCAGCCTTTAAAATGATATAGTGTAACGATATAGTGGATGAATGTTTAATGGTGTGAATAAATGTTAAGATGTGTTCAGGGGAAAAGAATCAAATGTTTTTTAATTTTTTAAAATTATTTCTTTATTTTTTTCAATTATAGGTCACATTCAATGTTATTTCATATTAGTTTCAGGCGTACAGGATAGTGATTAGAAAATCATATACTTTATAAAGTGTTCCCCCTAATATTTCCGATACCCATCTGGCACCATACATAGTTATTACAATAGTATTGACTGTATTCCTTATGCTGTACTTTACATCTTCAGGACTGTTTTTGTAATTATCAATTTGTACTTCTAAATTCCTTCATCTTTTCCAGCCAGTCCCTCAATGTCCCTCCTTTCTGGCAACCATCAGTCTCTTCTCTGTACCTATGAGTCTGTTTTTATTTTGTTTGTCCATTTATTTTGTTCTTTAGATTCTATGTATAATTGAAATCATATGGTATTTGTCTTTCTCTTTCTGACTCATTTCACTTAGCGTAATACCCTCTAGGTCTATCCATGCAGTTGCAAATGGTAAAATTTCATTCTTTTTTTATGGCTAAGTTATTTATATACACATACACACACACACACACACACATATACATACACACACACACACACATATATATATATATATATATATATATATATATATATATATAATCACTACCTTTTTATCTACTCGTCTATCAATGAGTACTTGGGTTGCTTCCATGTCTTGGCTATTGTAAATACCACTGCAACGAACATAAAAGCTCCTGCGTTCTTTTGAATTACTGTTTTGAGTTTCTTTTGATATACACCCAGAAGTGGAATCACCAGGCCATAACATAGTTCCATTTTTAATTTTTTGAGGACCCTTCATACTGTTTTCCAGAATGACTGCACTAATCTGCATTCCCACCAACAGTGCACAAGGCCTCCCTTTTCTCCACATCCTTGCCCTGAATTGTTTTTTGTTGATTTATTGATGATGGTCACACTGACAGGTGTGAGGTGATATCTCATTGTGGCTTTAATTTGCATGTCTATGATGACTAGTGATGTTGAACATCTTTTATATGTCTATTGGTCATCTGTATGTCTTCTTTGGAAGAATCAAGTTTTAAGAAACTGTGTACAGTATACTCATTTTGTTTAAATGAAAATATGTGTTATACATGCATAGAAAAGAGATGAAGGAATATATATCAGAATACTAAAGGTAGTTAGGGTGATTTAACAGGTTATTTTTGTTGTATTTATTTCTGAATAATGATGATAATACTTTTACAGCACTTACTACATGTGACACATTCTTTTAAGTGTTCTACCTATATTACAGTATTACATATATGACATACATATAACTCTGACATTAATCTCCTAAATTTTCAACAATAAAAAAGTGCTAACTTTTGCATGATGTAAAAAGCATTTGAGAAAAAGATAATAGAGATATAAGCATGATTTAGAATTAGGGAAGTAATTATTAGTGGAATTTAAAGCAGACTAAATCTTTCTTCATACATTCTTGTTTATATTGGATTTGTTGCTGCATGCATGTTTGACTTAAATAATAATAAATATGAATAAGAAATAATACTTGTTCTTAACAATTTTTCCAGTTTTTGACTCAGTTTTGAATTTGAATTCTAAATGCAAAGAAAACAAATTTTTTTGGAGTCTGTGGTTTAGCCAAACAAAATCATTTTGTTTTACCCAGCAATATACATTCTACCAAAATACCTCCACAACATAAGAAAATGAATGCATACCTCCTGAAGAGAAGGGAGTTAGAGGGTTATGGGTAGAATTACTAGTGGTAAATATTATTGATTGTCATTTTTTATGTTAAATTTTTGAAATTTACATTCCATTCAGTATATGTATTTGCTCTCTATAAAAATGTTTTCAGTTATTTTTTATCAAATAAAATTTCTACAAATTCAGATGTCATGTCATGTTTATCCTTTTTATACTTCCATTATATTCCTTAGTATAGATTATGTGTGGCCCATTTCCTGTAAAGTGCCCAACAGCAACTATTTCAGGCTTTGTAGGTCATATGATCACTATCACAATTACTCAATTCTACCAGTATAGCTTAAAGATCATCTAGGTCAAATACCTAACTGATAAGAGTTGAAATACAAGTTATGTAATATAGGCTATCCCAAAAAAATTTTTTTTGGTCTTAAAATGATCTCATGACTTTTGTAGAGCAGGCAGAGCACACACAACTTGGTTAACTTAGATGTATTTTTCCACTTTGCAGATCTGTCCAACTCAATGGTAAAACGCTGAAGATGGTGGATGACCAAACCCTGCCAGCTTTGACAGAAAAACCTCTCAGCCCAGGAAGTCCTCTAAGCTTGCCAGCTTTCTCATATGGGTTTTTTGTAATAAGAAATGCCAGAGTTGCTGCTTGCCTCTGAAAATAAAAGGCATACACTAGACTTGAGATTGAGTTTTTCAAGTGTATTGAGAAGAGGAAAACAAAACTCAAGCTATAGGAAGACAAGCAGATACATGACAAATCAACTAGTGGGAGCTTTAAAGACACTGAGACACTATCAGGCTAGATCTCACACAATATATTGTTCTAAGTAAGCCACTGCAGGTAGTTAGACATTGTGCCAAAACTGTGCTTATACTTTGCATGTAATATTTTTATTCAAGGTTATGGAAAATGTGTATGAATGCTTCTAGTACAGCCAGGGGGCAAGTGAGGGTATATTAGTTTTTTAAAAAGTGCTGTGTTGTTTTTATTCTAAAAAGGAAAAACAGTTATTAGAAGATTGTCAGGTTCATTCCTGCATATGCTGGCTCCGTGGGCTCCCATCAGAAAAAGTTTACTACCGTAACCTTCAAATTGCCTGTAAAAGAGAGACAAAATCTCTGCACCTTAACAGAGAGCTAGATTCAGTTGCTGCTTCTCATCTCTTTGTTCTGTTTGTCTTTGTCAGCAATATTATGTGAGAGGACAGATGGAGATGTGATCATACAGAAAATGATTAATGACAATAATTTTGACAGAGGGATGGGATTAAATAAGATTCAAATGAAATAAAAAATAACTACAAGGGAAATTGATGTACCAGGAGGAGAAAATTTAGTTCAATACATTATAACCATCTGTTAATGTGTACTTTTGTTCTACCTTTAGTTCTTGTTTTGGCTGGAGAGTTTTGGCTGCAAGTAACAGAAAACCTTGACTCTAAGGGTTTAAGAATAAGCACATTTATAATAATAAATAACAAGAAGTTCAAATAGGATTGGCCTTGTAGCTCAGTGAGGAACCAGGCTCCCTCCATCTTGCTCTGCTGCTACCTTTAGTACTGTCTTCATTCTCAAGCTGGCGGCATGATGGCTGTAGCTATTTCATCGACCCATTGAGACCTGGCAGCACCCAGAGGAAAAATATGAGCAATTTTTCTATGTCTCCACAGACTTGAAGAACTCCTTCACAGAGGTTCTTCCAGCAAAACTTGTGTCTCATGTCTTATTGGTCAGGAATGGATCACATGGCCATTCTCCCCAGTCACTTCCAGCATCACTGAGATTTCTGTAATTGCCTGCTAGTAATCTTTTGTGATGGAGTAGGTGTTGGGAAGTCCCTGGCACTGACCACTACAGTTCTGTGCTTTTATCAGTGACAGGATGTATTATTTCCTCCTGTATCTTAATTTTTAGAAACGTAAGCCTCTTTATAGTTATGCCAATTATGAATAAATACTGCCTCAATTAAATTTAATCGCATTTTTGAGGAGCTAAAGCTGGAACTTAAAACTTGGGAGCTTGAATACCCTTACATTTTATATGTATGTGGTTTTTATATTTCTAAAGTTGAAATAAAGCAATTCTGATAACCTCAGTAGTGCGTAATTATTCTTTGAAGAAAGCGTAAGCCTACAGATCCCTACATTTGGAAGCCTTGCCTTCCTCCACCCTATTTTTTTATACCTCCTATCTTTATTTGTCCTTTCAGTCTCCCTGACACCAAAAGAGTTGATCTTGACGAAAAGAGATCATCAGGCACAAGCACAGTTTCTTCCCTCAACATGTAGATTCAATCATGATCAAAGTCTTATCCTGTCTACTTCTCTTTTCCCTGTCTCCCCTGCCACTTAATAAAGTTAATGCCTAATGTTTCGTTTGTATAATCACCATAATCAACATTTCCTAATTGTTCCCCTGACTTGGGTAAAAATTCTTAAATGGTTTCCCGTTTCTTACAGGCACATGAGGTCCTCCATAACCTGGTACCTGCCTTTTTCTTCAGCTTCAACTCTTGTCCTTTTCCCACAAATTCTGTTCTCTACCCCACACACTGTTTTAGAAGTCTGGACACACAGCCTCCTTTACCTTTTGCTCCTATGCCTTTGATGCTGCTCCTGCTCTCCACCTGGATCATTCTAACACTCCTCCCTATGTGGCAAACAACACATTTATCAAGACCCAGCTCAAACATCAGCTTAAGTACCTCCCCTAATATTCAAGAATCTTTAGTCCAATTTCTTTGCTCTTACAGCAGTTTGGACATTTACTATGACACTTATGATGTGTCTTAGTCATATCCATATATATCTTTCCAATGTAACTTTAAGTTCATAAGGAAGAGGTACAGTATCTTAATTATCTTTGTATTCCCTATGCTTAGCATATTTTCTGGCACACAGTAGCCACTCCGATGTTTCCTTAATAACAGAAAAGAGCATTCAAAGTTAAAACTAACAGGTATTTTGATTTGGAATACACAGAAAATTTGAATGATGTTTCAACCTGAAAAGGTCTGCTACCTTTAAAAAGTCTAAAATTATCTAACTCTTACTAACTGTGAATACTTATGTGAAGCAGTGGGGGCATGGTTATGTTAAGAAAGAAATGTTCTCTTTCCCTGGCCAGTGTAGCTCAAGTTGGTTCGAGTGTCATCCTGTAAACTGAAAGGTTGAGGGTTCAATTCCTGGTCAAGGCACACGCCTAGGTTGTGGGTTTGGTCCCTCATCGGGGTGTGGATGAGAGGCAACAGATTGATGTTTCTCTCTCTCTGTCTCTCTCTCTCCCTTTCTCTCTCTCTAAAATCAGCATATTTGCTGATTTGTCCTCAAATGAGAAAAAAAAATTTTTTTAAAGGAATGCTCTCACATAATTATGACTATTAAATGCATTATTATTAAAGGTTTCTTTAACTTTCTTAGAGGAACCTGTTGCCTGTTGTGTCATTGAGACTTTTTGAGCCCACACATTTCCACTGGTATTTAATCAATCAAATACACTTATTTTCTCCAACTTGTTAGACTGGTTCAAATTACTTTGGTTTTCTAGTTTGGCCCTGTAGTTCACTTCATCTCTATTATAATGGGAATTTCCAAGTCCTGTTGTAAAACTATGTGTTCAGAGCTAATCAGTTAGTTCTGCAGTAGCACCCATTTCTTTTCCCTTTTTTAAAAAAAATTCTAATGTGTCTCATCCACCTATTGAATCACCTCATGGTTGACAAGTCTTTTAAGTATCCTTCTAAACAAAATTTTGGTTACCAACAAAACTAACATAAATACCCATCTGTTTATCTGACAATTTAATATAAAATAAAAGTAGAAGTATTTAAAACTAAATTTAAACAGTAGTGAAATGAATAACTAGTTTCAATGATACATTTCTTTGGTGACCTTTTAGAAAATGTTATTGATGACTGGCTCATGTATTATATGCCTTAGAAAAACAAAATGTGCAGATTCCCGTACTCACTCCATCCCTAGTGCAGGTATTTGGGTTTATTTCCAAGACTCCTCTCTTATTATTTTGTAATTTAATACCATTCTCAACTTTACAGTCTTATTGGTTGGAAAGCCCTGGAGCAATTTAAGTACTTAAATATTTAATCTTCACTTTTAATGACTTTAAATGCTATTGATTTTTATGACACCTTTAATGTAAGTTCAAATTGTTCTTATTTTCACACATTTGATGACAATCATTAGTTTCTGAATTGGTTTTCAGGTTACTTTGCTACATACACTTACATATTTATTTAAACTTCCATAGACTTTTCAAAGGACAATAACAAATCCGGTTTAACTGATTCTGCAGCACTCCAAATTTAATAAGCCAGACTTGCATATTTAACAGATCCTTCCTAAACACATTTAAAAAAAAAACCTTTTATAACTCAAAACTAAGACTTGAAACCATAAAAATTCTAGAAGAAAACATAGGCAGTAAAATCTCAGACATTTGTCATAACAATATTTTTTCTGATATGTCTTCTGAGGCAAGGGAAACAAAAGAAAAAAATAAACATATGGGACTACATCAAACTAAAAAGTTTTTGCACAGCAAAAGAAACCATCAACAAAATGAAAAGACAACTCCCTGAATGGGAGAACATATTTGCCAATGACACAGCTGGTAAGGGGTTAATTTCTAAAATTTATAAACAACTTTTACAACTCAACACCAAAAAAGAAACCCAGTTAAAAAATGGGCAAAGCACCTGAATAGACATTTCTCCAAAGAGGACATACAGATGGCCAAAAGACATATGAAAAGATTCTCAATATCACTAATCCTCAGAGAAATGCAAATTAAAACCACAAATGAGATATCACCTCATACCCATCAGGATGGCTACCATCAAAAAATCAGCAAACAGCAAGTTCTGGTGAGGATTTGGAGAAAGGGGAATCCTTTGCACTGGTGGTGGGAATGCAGACTGGTGCCGCCACTGTGGAAAGCAGTGTGGAGTGTTCTCAAAAAATTAAAATGGAACTGCCTTACGACCCAGCGACTCTACTTCTGGGAATATATCCAAAGAAACCTGAAACACTTACTTGAAAGAATATATGCACCCTTATGTTCATTGTTGTATTATTTACAATAGCCAACATTTGGAAGCAACCCAAGTGTCCATCAGTGCATGAGTGGATAAAAAAAGCTGTGGTACTTTTACATAATGGAATACTATTCATCCATAAAAAGAAAAAAATCTTTTGCAACATCATGAATGGACCTAAGTGAAACAAGTCAGTGTGAGAAAGACAAATATTATATGATTTCACTTACATGTGAAATCTAGTGAACAAAATAAACAAAAAAATAGAAACAGACTCATAGATACAGAAAAGAGACTGACAACTGTCAGAGGGGAGGCAGGGTGGGCAGCTGGGGGAAAAGGGTGAAGGGATTAAGAAAAGAAAAAAAAAAACTCCATAGACACAGACAAAAGTATGATGATTACCATAAGGAAAAGGCTGGGGGAGAAGTATAAGAGGATAAAGGAGGGAAAAATGGTGACAGAAAGGGACTTGACTTTGGGTGGCAAACACACAGTACAATATACTGATGATATATTATAGAACTGTACACCTCAGACCTGTATAGTTTTATTAACCAATATCACCCCAGTAAATTCAATAAAAGACAAGCATAATAATATATGAGTTAAGAAAATTTAATTAAAAACCTCTTATACATCTAATAAGTCATACACCAATTTAGTAGATTAAGGTCCCTAAGCATTTGAACATATTAAAAAGAACAGTTATAGTAAAAACGATTTAAGTACTACTCGAACAAGAATATTATTTCTTCATCTCAAGTTACAAATTTACTCCCATAGTCAGAGTTAACAGAATTACCAAGTCAGGTCCACTGTAGCAAGTAACATAACAATCAGGTTTTTAATGAGAGAGTCTAGAAACGGGTGTGTTTGTTAGGT